GAGGGTGATAACAACGGTAGCCTTTCTGATGAGTGGCATAACCCACAAAAACACAACGAAGCGCACATGGATCAAGTTTGCTACGTTGATTTTTGTGGAGATGAACGAAAGCCACACATCCAAAGATTCGGGGTGTGAGTACCAAAACAGAAGGCAGAGGTCTGTGTTGCGCAAGCACATGTAAGGGAGTTTTAAAGGTCAATACACCAGAATGCATGCAGTTGATTAGGTGAACAGCAGTGACAATAGCATCATCCCAGTGATGGCGAGGAACATGAGCGCCAATCAGAAGTGCTCGGGCGGTTTCAAGAAGATGTCGATTCTTTCGTTCGGCAACACCATTTTGTTGCGGTGTCTGAGGACAAGTCGTCTCATGGATAATTCCATGTTGTTGGAAGTAAGTCTGAAAGTCATGATTGACAAATTCTCCACCATTGTCGGAGCGAAGAATCTGGATTTGAGCATTAAACTGAGTTTTCATCTGTTTGTGGAATGATTGAAAACGGGAAAACACTTCGTTTTTATTCTTCAGCAAATAAAGCCATGTCATCCGTGTACAATCATCTATGAATGTGACAAACCATCTAACACCAGAGGGAGCAGTGATAGGTGAAGGTCCCCAGACATCAGAGTGAATTAACGTAAATGGAGTAGTACACTTGTTCGTACTCAACGGGTAGGGCACACGGTGACTCTTAGCCAAAATACAAGTATCACATGTGAAGTCGGAGTCCTTGAAACCTGAGAATAAATCTGGTATAAGATGCTTCATATAACTAAAAGACGGATGTCCCAATCGACGGTGCCACAACCAAATTTGCTTTTGTTTGCTATCAAAGGGATGCGTCACACTGTTAGCTATGCCAGGACTGAAGTCATCGACATAATATAGCCCCCCTCTCTTAGTACCACGACCAAGAATCTCCTTAGTGTGAATATCCTGAAGCAAACAAAAACTCGGGTAAATGAGTACACAACAATTCAATTGTTCAGTAAGCTGACTAACGGACAACAATTTAGTAGATAAAGATGGAACAAGTAAAGTATTAGACAGTGTGAGAGAGGATGAGAGTGCAAATCATAAACCTGAGAGGTGTCAGTGCCATCATAGTAAGTTGTGGCAATTGCATCCCACACTGCTTTTGCCGTCGGAAAACGAATGAAATTGCCAATCAAGCTCTGCTCTAGAGAATTGATGAGCCATCCCTTTACAATAGAGTTCTCGGTGCGCCAGCGAGGAAACGTTGGAGCGGTCAAAGGAGGTTGTGGAAGATCACCATTAATATATCCCAATTTGTCTTTGCCGGAGATATACAACTCTACAACTTGGGACCATAGGGCATAGTTGGTGCCATCCAACTTTATGCCAATCTGTGCAGCGGAAGCTTCATAGGTAATCATCGTCGGAATCGTTGTCTGATTCGGGTTCAAGATCGACGTCTGATTCGAGGTCGGGGTCGTCGTCTGAGTCGAGGTCGGGGTCGTCTTGGTAGGATCCTGAGTTAGGATCAAGTTCGAGGTCTGAGTTTGCATCTGCATTAGTTGAGCCACCTGGGCACTCAACTCGGCTATGGTTGGTTGAGAAGGAAAGGAGGAAGCAGTGGTGCTACCGCCATGAGGATTAGAAGAATCATCCTCCCCCATGGTAGCGGCTAGGGTTTAGAAACTAGAGTCAGCAATCCCAAGATCGCCGCTCTGATACCATGCTAAAATATGAGAACTATGATAGAATATTTGTTTGTGGGAATTTTCTGTGTATTCTTCTCCTTGTAGGAGGTCATATTTATAATACAACAAAACCTGAATGGGCAAGTAAATAATAAATTCCTAAATCTATTTACAGTAGAAAATCAGGAATTAAAGTAAATCAATTACAAATAAAATAGGAATCCTTGGTGTGTAAGGAAAGTAAGTCAATGTCCACAAGTCACGCCAACACATGCTTCTCATTTTCGAGACACCGACCAAAGTTTTATGTGCTCCAAATCAAAGGAACAATGATGCAAAGTGTAGTGAGGGAGGCAAAGTATTGATATTTAGAACATGAAACTAAATTTATTGTATTTACGAATGGTGGCTCTCATGCATGGCATTTTCTTGGGGACTATGGTTTCTCATTAATTAATTAGGTACGTATACATCTACATACCAGAAAGTCCTACAAATTATGTCACATTTGCCAAATTGATGAAAGTAGATATACTCTAACAGATAATGCTTCGATTAAAATAGAAATTTTTATTTTAGATCATGGAAATATTTAAGAAAAGAAGAACATCTACGAAAGAAAGAAGAAGCATTGATTGATTGATTGATGACGAAAATGTGACAATGATAGATTGCTAAACACACGATTAATTTGGGATTTGGTACGAGTTGCATGACAAAGATAAATATACATATAGCTTACTAGACATCAATGATTGAGTTTCAAAATTGGTGATAGGCCAACTTTGGTGAAATCTATTTTGGAGAATACAAGAAAGTCCTACATGAATTAAAATTATAAGTAAAATCTTGTAATTACAATCTATTAATATTATAAGAAAAATCATGTAATTACAAATCATGCTGAAATCTATTACATTAAAATCATGTAATTACAATCTATTAAAATCTCAATTGAATACACCCACCTAAAATTTGACGGGGTGTAAAAAGAATGTGGAAAAAAGAGAGTAAATTTTGATGTGCCAATAAACTCACCCTTTGACAAATCCTGTCACCCAACCCACTTACATGATTAAAATATTTTATTTGAGTTTATTGTATTGTATTAGGCTATTAGCTAGCCAACTAACTAATTTTAATTCATTCATTTATCAACAGTCAACACAAAACTTTCAAATATAACTGCCCGGCCTTTGGCCACGTATTACATATGCATGACGCATGCATGTTTTATGTTATGTTGGTCGCCTTTCTATTTCTTCTATATTTTTTTTTCTATTTCTATGGAAGCAAGAGTGCGATGATAGAATCATTCAGGAAAATTAAAGCTCAATATAGTCTAACCCATTAAAAAAGGGTCTTAACCTACAAATTAAAAGTCTTATGTTCGAACATCCATAACATTCATCATTTCTTGTGTAAGAAACTTCATCTCTTATAATTTAGACTATTGCTTGTAATTGTTTTTAAAAAAGTAATGATACTAATTAATAATAAATAATATTATAGTTAGTACGCTAATAGGAAAAGGAGACTTGATAAATTAAAAGTGTAGAAAGAGTTGCATCGTAGGTAATCCGTCGCATCCACTTCTCAACCTCCGTTCCATAGTCTCCTCTCTCTCTCTCTCCCCTTTCCACTCCAAAAGTTTTATCGACTCTGTATTTTTTACCGTACTACTTTCTTACAAAACCCTCCATATTTTAATTCCTAATCACTACACCTACCTTAATTCCTATCTGTATATAATAATATAATATTCCCCAAACTCAAATTCACTAGTTTTCTGCTTACTCGAACTAAAAGAGAGACATTTATTCAGTCGTACACGTAAGCATGCATATGCATTCAGTTACCTGCTTACTTGCATTTGAAAACAAAGAAAAGCAGGCAAACATAAAGAAATATGTGTATATATATATATGGCAGCAAAGTAAAGCAGCCTGCCACACGGTACATTTCCGCTCACCAAAATCAAAACCCGTTGGGTAAAATATACAAAACATGCACGCCAAGAAACACACACTCCAGAATTACAAGTCATGAGTGATGAGATGACCACCTTCTCCTCCACTCTCCAGACTCCACCCCCTCATATAACACATGACCGCCCCCACCGTACCACTGCTCAACCTAATTAACCAACCAACCATTATATATTACATACATATATACTCTCTCCTTCTCAATATTAATACCTGCATAACCCACTCTCTCATCACATATCTCACATGCCCTTCTCCTCCTCTCATTCAAACAAAATGATCACCCCTCCTCCTCCTCCTCCCCCTCCTCCTTCTCATCCCCCCCCCCCCCCCCCCCCCCCAAAACTTATAATTAACTTATTTTATTTATTTATTTGTTTTATATAACTTGTAAAAATGAGAATTTCATCTTGAAGGGTACAATGGCCACTTTGATTGTAGGCTTGAAGCAGTGTTTTTTCGGCCTCCTTGATACTCCTCTATATAGGTTATGTATAACTGTAAGAAGAAAATATACATAAAGGCAAAAAAGAGAGGCCAAAGAGGGCTGTGTAGATGCAAAAAAGGTCCTCAAGAAGGGAGGACTCTTCAGCAAATTTAGCCTTAAAGCTTGCAAACAAATTGGAGAAGTAACTCATCTCTCTCTCTCTCTCTCTCTCTCTCATGAAAATATTAGAGTTACGAAGAAGACAGCGTGAACTACAATCGTTAAACAGCCTTTTAATAAAGCAGAGATATATTCAACAAACTGACTAGCTAGAAAGTTGAATAGCTAGCTCATTCAAAACCTTCCCCTTGTTCTTTCTTTTAAGGTTCTTATAAGCAAGCCCCACAGGTGGGTTATGAATTCAAGATCATTATTAAATCTCTTCTTCACAAATTGGGAGCTAGCTCTTCTTCTTAACCTAGCTAAGATTGACATCAAGTTTGTTGTTCCGATTAAAAGATCGACCTCAATATGTGGACAAAACTTAAAGCTTCTTCAAAGATTGCAAAAGGTATGTTGTATATGTTTTTGTTTAATTAATTTTTCGGTTGAAAGTTATATCTTCATCTTCTTTTGCCTCTACAATTTTGGACTATTGGTTTTCAGGGAAAGAAGTGATAAGACAAGTTCAAAAAAGCTTCAATCTGAACGATGAGTACCTCAGTGCATTTAGAACCAAATCATATGCAGACTTCTATAATAAGGCTCAATTGCTTGTAAACGAGCCATCATCTTCTTTTAGTTACAGCAATGATCACAAATTCTCAGAAGTCCTCCTAGAACCTGGTCAAGAAGCCATACCTGGTATTCTTGAATCCGCGATTCTTTCGAAGGTGCCTGAATTGAAAGGCCTTATGCTCAACTACTTTGACATCAGTGCTGAGGCCTCAAAAATATGTAGCCACCTCTTAAAAAGCATCAAACGTATCCAATCCAACCACCGCGTCGTTCAACAAGCACTTGATAAATTTGAGGACTTTTCCCCGAACAAAATCAAATCGATTGTTTCTGAACTAAACTTGTTCATTCTCCAAAACAACATTAACCCTTTTTCAAATCCTAATAACCATGACTTTGAGCTCATTCATGACAAGTACTCGTCGGTTTTGCACCACCTGAAGTTGATGAGAAAAAATGTGTCGCGGAAGATTAAGCTCATCAAGTTTTTCAAAAAGGCTTCTGGGATTTGCATAACAGCAGCTTGTAGTTTGATTGCTATATCAGCTGTTGTTCTAGCCGTACATACTCTTACTGCCTTGCTCATGGGACCAGCTATCATCAGCTTCCCATTTAAGCGCTTAAAGAAAAAGTTGAGTAGTATCCCGTTTTTGAGAAGTAGGATTCTTACCAAAGTCGGAGAGCAACTTGATGTAGCCGCCAAGGGGACTTATATTCTGAACAGGGATTTCGACACAATGAGCCGACTTGTGGCAAGGCTTCATGATGAGGTTGAACACAACAAGTCAATGATTCGGTTCTGCTTGGAGAGGAGAGAGGATAAGTTTTCGTTGCAAGTTGTGAAGGAGCTTAAGAAGAGTGATATTGGGTTCAGAAAGCAAGTGGAGGAGCTTCAAGAGCATGTGTATTTGTGTCTTGTGACGATCAATAGAGCTAGAGCTTTGGTCATCAAGGAGATGAAAAAATCTTGCGTAGACAATTGATTTTAGGAGTCTAGGAAGGTGGCTATATAAAAGTCTTGTACAGCATAGTAATTCAATATCTGTAAATTATACATAATTATACTAAAGTATTTATTGGCATGTTATTTTTTTTATATTAAAAAATAAAACTATTGTCTAAGCATCTGATCTATTTTAAAGACTCGACTTTGTCAGCTAAAAAAAAATAAAAAATATTATTTGACGATGTGTTTGGTATGCATCATTTCATTAGAGTGCGTATATCGTTATATGTTATTTTCAAACCTAATTGGGATAATCCTCTCGAGGGGAAGTGATGAGTGCTAGTGATGCTCACCCCAACTTTATTTCGAGAAATGTGCAATCTGGAATGAAGTCGGTACGAGTGGTGTCTGTGACTTGTCAAATACCAATATGGTTGTTTGCGTAACAAATTTGGCAAGCTACTATGAAAGTACCATTAAAAAAGGGCAATGAAGCCAAATGCGGACAAGAACCATCGGCAAGACAACAACCACACAAGGATCCAAAGGGGGACCACCTAACATGTTCTTATCACAACCTCCACAGATTCTCGGCTTTTTCCCAAACAACTGATTCAGCTCCAATACAAAAAGATTGAACCAACATATTAATGGGTGTGTTCGCAGTTATTATTGTGTGGATATCATTGTAAATATAGAGAGGTAATATAAAATATATAGCATCTACATAATAATAATATGCAGATGTCTATATAGGAGAAAATATGTATGTTATTATATTGATAATATCATTTGCACCTGCATTTAACGACCACTTTACTGGCTATCACTTAATATCATTTGCACCTGATTTTAGAGAGGTACTCTGCATTATGACAGTTTTCCATCTTTACATTGTGAGTGTTTTATTTATATTGTTAGAGCATCTACAATCACACTCCCTATTTCTTAGCTAAAATTTAGCTAAAAACACAAAAAAGTTATTATAAGAGCTCTCTAAAAAATTCCAACTCCAACCATACTCCCTAATTTGGAGAGTCATAAATGTTTTACTTCTTTTTAAATTTAATTCCTGATTTGCAATAAAATATTCATATTCAAATACTAAATATTCCAAAATAATAAACTACAATGATATTGTAAGTTTATTTGTTGTTCAATTTTGATATTCTATGGTTGTTGTGGTTTGCAAAATACCTACAGGGAAAAGAACTTAAAAAAGAGAAGGGAAAAAAAAGAAAAGAAAAAGGTGTTCGTGTGCTGCAAATGTCTACAGTGAAAAGAATCGAAAAAAAAAAATGTTTGTTTGTGCTTTGCAAAGCACCTACAGCTACGGCAGAAAGAATAGAACATACGGTGTAGGTAGCTTGCAATAGAAAGTGATTACAAATATAAAATGCAGAAAAAAAAAATTGATAAAATTAAAGATATCATTAATAAATGTTTAAAATAATAATAAAATATGGTAGCATTTAATTATAGGGAGTCACTAGGAGCCTTTTCTCTCTCCTCAGATTTAGGAGCTCCTAGAGGTCTCCCTATTTTAGGAGCTGGATAGGGAGCATTATTGGAGGTGGGTTTTTTCAATTCATCCCCAAATTTTAGCTAAGGAGGTGGTTTAGGGAGCCCATTGTGGATGCTCTTATGGTTTGATTTTTTCAAGCTTAACTTATTTTGGTTTGTTCTGAGTTTGCACTCTTATAGTTGGGATGTCTATACCAAAGTTTCTTTAATCCTACATGATCGTTAATGGATGAGGTGTTTGTGTGCTGCAAATGTCTACAGTGAAAAGAATCGAAAAAAAAAAAAATGTTTGTTAGTGCTTTGCAAAGCACCTACAGCTACGGCAGAAAGAATAGAACATTTAAAAAAGAGAAGGGAAAAAAAAGAAAAGAAAAAGGTGTTCGTGTGCTGCAAATGTCTACAGTGAAAAGAATCGAAAAAAAAAAATGTTTGTTTGTGCTTTGCAAAGCACCTACAGCTACGGCAGAAAGAATAGAACATACGGTGTAGGTAGCTTGCAATAGAAAGTGATTACAAATATAAAATGCAGAAAGAAAAAAAATTTGATAAAATTAAAGATATCATTAATAAATGTTTAAAATAATAATAAAATATGGTAGCATTTAATTATAGGGAGTCACTAGAAGCTTTTTCTCTCTCCTCAGATTTAGAAACTCCTAGAGGTCTCCCTATTTTAGGAGCTGGATAGGGAGCATGATTGGAGGTGGGTTTTTTCAATTCCTCCCCAAATTTTAGCTAAGGAGGTGGTTTAGGGAGCCCATTGTGGATGCTCTTGTGGTTTGATTTTTTCAAGCTTAACTTATTTTGGTTTGTTCTGAGTTTGCACTCTTATAGTTGGGATGTTTATACCAAAGTTTCTTCAATCCTACATGATCGTTAATGGATGAGTCGCATATTGTCTAAATTTTGATGCTGGATCGCTTTATTATTGTAATAGCTCTTTGTAGCTAGTTCTTTTTTATACTGAATTATGAATGTAATCCTGAAATTTCTGTATATTTTTAAATTTAAAAAAAAAAAAGAGGTATTCTACAATATTGTCAATAGATGTGGTACTCATTATATATGTGTATATATGCTGATTTTTGGTTTAAATTCACAATGTAAAATAGGTCTTGCAATAGAATAGGAAGAAATTGTCAAATCTCTTGGTTGTCATAAACATCTTTTCAGTATTTATTGAAAAAGAGAGAGTGTTTTTTTTTTTTTTTTTTTTAAGCGGGGGAAGGGGGGGG